TTATAAAAACCCTCCATGCATAACTGAAAAATAAAACTCCAATCCTTCAAAACTTCAAGGTTACAACTTGGGAATCCACTGGTGGACCCCTAACCAAAAGTTCAACTGAAACTGAAAATTGAAAATAGAAAATGCTAGAAACATCGAGAAAAGTCCTACGTAATCAGATGAATGTGAGACTGTCCTCGACAAGCATGATCAAGCTCTAAGGCTGGAACCGTCCTGTACCTGAAAAAAATAATAAAGGAGTGGGTCAGACCCACGAGCAAGTTCTAATCTAACTGCAATCCATACAGTGACCCGATACGCAGATATACCGTAGATACCTCACAATATCTATCTAGTCCATACGTATAAATATGTCCACACTAAGGGACATTCACTAGTCTATAATAGGAGTCTCAACCTGAATAGAAGGCAACATGCGAATACGTACCCAAATGTGGGCATGAGTACCTAGACCTAACAGGGTACACCTCAACCTATTATAACCAGCTACGCATCCACCGCATATACGCACCCTAACCAACGAGTCTGAGACTCAAGCTCAGCTCGTGGTACCATAAACATATATATAAAATCCATCCAAATCCAGGGTATGTAGTTCAAATATTTAATAAACTGACATACAACAAACCAACTGGTTAGTTACTCAACTTATTCAGTTGATGTGACTTAACCTCCGTCCATTAATCCAGGAAGCCACTCAACTTAGTTGCAGTCGACATGTCTTAACCAAAATTAGGATTCAATATTTATAAATCCATTCCTTAAATCCGTTAAGTTAGGTTTAAGTGTTTGGAGCTAAACCGTCACCAGTATGTCACCGTCCCATATCGGTGCATACAATCCTCCATATCCAGGTAAATTACAATGTATACATAATGAACAAGTAATTTACAGTTCAAAACCACCATCCAAATAATTGCAGAAAAGTATTTAAGATTTCAGCAATTTAAATCCCATAATTAAACCATGTAATTGCAAGAAACAGTTTAATAGTTTACACAACTAGCATCCAAAGCATGCATAGACCCAATCCAATATATCAATGACTCTATCATACATTTAGAACAAATTCTATAATCCTATTATAGTCCAACAAATTGCTAAATTAACCTAAACAATTTATTTCGTCCCATCCGATAACAGTGTACTAAGTCATACGCTTTTATACTGTTTTATCCTTTATCTTAGAGACTTAAACCATGCATCAACTAGTTTAATCACACTTATAATCAAGTAATTAGATCCTCTGTAAAGTCCCCACAATCCATTAGAAATATCCAAAGGCTCAAACAGTGTCCAGAATACCAAACAGTGCCTTAAAAAACTAAAAAAAAAAAAAAAAATTTAATCGTATATTGAAGAGGGAGCCTGCTCCAAATTTCGGGAGCAGGCTCTTTCAGCCTAGAGCCGGCTCTAGGAGTCCTTAGAGCCGGCTCTACTTGTTGTGGGAGCCGGCTCCCACATCTATGGAGCCGGCTCTCACCTCCTTTGAGAGCCTCTGTCCCCATTGCTTCGTTTCAGTCCGTCTGTTCCCTCTCTGATCAATTCCTACCACTCTGTTGGTTTCTAAAATAGATCTTAAGCATCTTATTAACACCCAGGAGCATCCCAAAGGTTTGATAACAACCATTAGAATCAATTACAGAGATTTAATTTGCTACCGAACTAACATGCGTTAGGAACGAATCTGAAACTATTTTGCTATAACAGTTCTAGTCCAACCCCTCTGTTCCTCTTCACTACTGATCTTAAGAGTCCTATAACACCCCATAATCATCCCCATGATTTATTTACAGAGGTTAAAAACAATTACAGAAACTAAAATTGCTAACAACAAAACATGCTTAAAACAGAAAACTGAAATAAGACTTGCAAGCACTAAACAGAATTGATTTTAACACGCAAAGATCATCAATATATTATATGGTAAGCATTTAAGTTCTGATTTAATAATTAATTAAACCCTAGAGATTATCTAGGTGCACAGAACACAAGCCAGATGGAAGGAGGAAGAGAAGAACTTGCTTTCGAGTTTAAGACTTGAAACTCTAAATTCCCAGTTTCTGTATTGCCCGTTCAATTCCCCACTGCTGTTCCACAAACCCACGTTCCTTCTACCTTGCTCCCACCTATCCTTCCTTTCCTATCTCTCTCTATTCTCCCTCTGTATCCTACGGTCTCTGCTTTTACAAAAATTACGTTTAATTGTTCTAAAACCCTAAACCACCGTGACACACATACTTATAGGCTTAGTGATTAAACCCTAATCTTATAGGCTTAGTGATTAAACCCTAATCCATGTATAACTCGGCCCATAAAAACCTAGGTTATATTCACTGTCGGCACATAAAGCTATAAAACAGTCATGATGAACACTAATTTAAATTAACTAAACCAGTCACTTAAAATAATTAACTTAAGACAATTAAATTAGTAAATCCCCTAAAATTAACACAATTAAAAAAAAATATTAAATTAAAACAATTAAATCCGTAATTAAGACAACTAATTAAACAAAACAATTAATCAATTAAGTAAAACAAAACCCAAATTTAATATAACCATGAAATAAACACACAATTAAAATAACCAATTTAAACTAATTAAATCAAATAAAAACCAATTAAACAATTAAATAAAGGATTAAACAATTAAATAAATGTCAGGACTATCCTTTTAAAATTAGGGGTATTACAGCCACCAATGCCCTCGATGTTGAAATCGAGAAAGTGGTTCAAGATGCACTGGACCGAGTTATGGTCGACAGAACCACGGTGGTGGCGGCTCACAGGCTGTCGACAATTAAGGGTGCAGATTTGATTGCAGTGGTTAAAAATGGAGTCATTGCAGAGAAGGGAAAGCATGAAAGTTTGATAAATATCAAAGATGGTATTTATGCCTCCCTAGTTGCAGTGCACTTTAGTGCTTCATCATCTTAGAGAGCTACTTGTGCTCTTTTTTCACTATATTTAAGAAAGAAGTAAATCCTATGGACCTGTTTGCCCTTGCATTGCTCTTATTTATGTTCCCTTTTATGTATACCAAGTTTTTTGGCGAGTGTTAATGCGACATGAATTGAAGAAATGGCAATAACAAGTTTTAGATGGATAAATTTCAATTGATTAATCAACAGATTATTGTTCAATTATTGACTCACATTATCTCAATCAATCAATTAACTAAGTTTTGAGCAAATTGTTGTAATCATTAAGTCATTCAATCTAGAATCAACCAAAAAAAGAAAATATATTTTGCATGGAAACCCCAACACAAACAATATAACAAAAGGAGAAAAAGGTAAGGGGTAATTAAGGAAGCTTCATCGAATGTGTGGTATCTGACATGCGTGCAACATGGACGTGTTGGGGACATTTCACCAAAGACACTGCTGGATACACAAACAAGTGGCCGAGACATGTCTAAGTCACATAAAGCAGGAGTCATAATGAATTCGAGAACGGAGCGCGAAAACAACAAAATTACATCATTAATTGTGAGAATAAGAACGAGAGTGTAGAGCGTGAGAGCGACACTTATATAACCTATAAAGCACGGACACGGGTACGATACGACACGGATACGGCGATACGACAAATTTTAAAAAAATAGGACACGGACACGGCAAAGATACGGCAATAAAATATATATATATATTATAATATATATTTTTATTTTTACTCAATTTCTAATTTATATTTAATAAACACAAATTTTATGCCCATTATTTAATAAACTTTTTGCCCCAAAATATAGCCAAAGCATCATTAAGCTCAAGCCCATTCACTAATACAAACCCTAATTGTACAAAAAATCAAAAGTCACTAAGTCACTAACACACTTTGTACGCCACTAGAGTGTGGTGTGTGAGAGAGAAAGCGACAGAGCAGATCGATCTGAAGCATCATCCTATCAATCATTTCCTAGAGAGATCCAAGAGCAAAGTGTTCAAGTTGAATAAACTTTGAGAGTAGAATAGACACCATCAAAGTCCGGTGTGCGAAGGGGAACGAAGTAGATTTGATCCGAAACCATCTCGCCGATCAATCAATCCGGTGGCTCCGACAGTGGCCGGATAAATTCAGAAGATCCCAATCGAGCTGCACTCTTCTAGCTTGTGTATATATCTTTTTTTTTATTTTTTTATTTTTTTTTTGACAAAAAATCTGAATCCCGTGTCCTATGTGTGTCGCCGGCGTGTCCTTCGCTGTGTCCGGCATGAAAAATAAGTTAAAAAAATAAGACTCCTCTACAGAGGTGTCGGACACGCGTTGGAGCCTACGATATGCGTGTTCGTGTCGAACACGTGTCCAACACCGATACGATGACCCAATCCCACGTGTCGGTGTTTCATAGTATATAACTTAAATCCTTCCTTACACATTGATAAAAAATTGATAAAAATTTAATTCAATTCGATGGGAAGAAAGGCTTCATCTGATCTAATGTAATTCAATTGGATTGGATTAGTTTTACTTATTGGACTTTTCTAAACAGACCAATAATTTTTTTTTTTTTTTTTTTTTTGCAGACAATGGCCCAACGTAAATGAAACTGCTGTAAGAATTCCTAGCATTAATAAAAAAAAAAAACTTCCAAGGTGGGGTTCAAATATCTGACTAAACTTAGTTTTGGGCTTTCTCAGCCCCAATTGACAATCGTATCTTGTAAATTACGAAAAGCAACTTTGTGACCGCTTGATTTCAAAACACGCGGTCTTTTATAGCGCCAAATTTCCCGCCCACTCTACACGCCCACAACACCCTTATTATATAGGAATATAAGACTCTGTATATGGTATAATCGTTTGACCAAGGCAAGAATTGACTCCTCGTAAAGAGTTAAGTAAATAATAGTAGTAAATTCTAGAACCTAGTTCTCGAAAAGCCAGTTGTAGCCCTAGTTCTCGGAAAAATTTGCGGTAAGAGGCTACCGAGGCCTCGAATATACACCGATTTGAAGACCCGTCGAGGGCAAAAGAAGCTTACTGGTCGATGGGTGCTCTCAATTTCAAGCGCCATCGCCTCCAAGGGCGGACGGAGGGCGGTATCAGGAAACTCCGAGCGGAGCGCGAGACATTCCTCAAGAAAACAAAGCAAACCGAAGTTGATGATGAGGAGTTGGGTGTTGGGCGGAGATTGGCCAGGAGGCTTGAGGGTGAATTTGAACAGGTGGCTGTGGAGAGTGGTTTGGGGGAAAGCAAGGGAAGTCCGGCCTCGAATGATAGATCAAAGGTGAATTTGGTCGTGAGCTCGTCCCCGCCTCCTGCTCCCATCACCATGAAGCGGAGCCAATTCATGGCTTTGGTTGACGGAGACGATGACGAGGATTTGGGTGTTGTTGGGAGTAGATTGGCGAGGAAGCTTGAAGAAGAATTCAATCAGGTGGCTGTGGAGAGTGGTTTGGGAAAAAACAGAGATGGATCGAATATGGTGGATTTGGTCGGGGAAGTCGAAGGATCAAAGTCTATGAGCAAGAAAGGTAGTGCAAAAACCAGAATAATTAGAGAGAACGGTGGTTCAAGTGGGACTGGTACTTCTTCGAGTTGGGCAAACCGTGGCTCCATTAGAGGTTTTCGATGAATTGTATTTGTTTTTTTATAGTTTATATATATAGGGTTTCTTTGTTAATTTCTTATCCAGTTCATGTTTTATGCAATTCATCGAAAATAATATTTTGAATTTTTGTCGGACCCAATATTTTCTTGATTTAAGAATGATAGATCAATTATGTAGCTTCTTGTTCCAGTGGAATTCCAGTAGTGACCCATTAGTGTTGAATTGTGATCGTGGCACCTTGTTTGTTGTACGAGGTGGGTCTCACTGTGACTATCAACATTCATTTTAGTAATGATATAATCTATCAACTTTATTTTGAGATAAGCATCATAGAAGGCTTCTTAAGTTTAGCTTTAATGCTTTTTTTTGTGAAGAATAAATAAGTAAGATGATAGGCCATGAGAAATAATATAGAGGGTATTAATAAATGATTTACTGTAAAAATCAAAATTCATAATAAATACGAGATTAAAGGAATTGAGTAAATAAGTTCAAGACAAAGGCTTAATGTTTAAAAGCATGATTGGTTACCTGAGAAATTGATTTCAAAGATTTCTATCACTTATGCTGGTGGTCTAGTTAAAATGAAATTCTAGAAAACATTCTTCCCACTCATGGAATGAAAATCTAGAAAAGGAGACTTTAATTTTTTTTTTTCCTGGTATGTAAAAAGGAGACTTTTAATTGCAGACATGTTGAGCTTATTATGTTGAAGTTACCTTTGAGAGAATCTGCATGGGAGGATCAGATTGTTTGGGGTCCTAATTCGAATGGTTTGTTCTCTGTTAAGATTGTATGTCGATTAGCTTTGACTGGCTTAGATAATAAGCTTTCAGTGAATGATGCTGAAGGTTCCAGTTTGTGGAGAGGAAGGAGAATCAATTGACCATCTCTTGTGCAGATGTCCTAAGATTATGGATGATTATTTTATTTTATTTTATTTTATTTTTTATTTATTTATATTTTTAAAATTTTAATGATGCTCAGAGGCAACACCAAGCCATTTTGATGTTTCCTCTCCGGTGGTGTTGTCTTCATGGGAAGCTCTGGCAATTGGTATGCTGAAGTTTAATTTTGATGCGGCTTATCTTTCTTCTACAAATGAATGTGGTGGTGGGTTAATTGTCAGAAAGTTAAAGATGATGGTAGACCATTGAAGGTTGCTTCCTTCTTTTTCCACAATGTTCTTAATATTGTTGCCCATGTGATTAGTGTTAATATTGTGGCAGGGCATGATTTGATATCTTTATTCTGTGAATTTGTGGCTATGGCAGTCTCTGGCGTGATTTTCTGGCCTATTCCGTGCTTCTCATGCGGCCGAATCGATACTCACTATCACTCTCCTGGAAAAGAAATAAGTTAGACATTCATTTCGTCATCATCCCTGTGCCATAATCCCATAAAAATGAAGTTTTTTTTTTTTGGCAAATAAAGGGAGGGAACTTAACACGGAAACACCCGTTTGGAGAGCTGGACTCTCTACCAACCAAAGGAATGCCCCCATATGTATGAATAGGGTTTTAATTCTCTTTTTATTTTATTTTTATTCTTTCTTATTATGTTAAATTATATTTAATTAAGTTTTGATCAACCTGTTTGTTCCTTACTTTATGAGAAAAAGAAAAAAAAGGAGGGGGGGGGGGGGGGGGGGGGATTAGGCTTGCATTTGTAGTGACACATTGGTTAGGCATGCCATGCTATATAAAGATCTTTAACTGTTCTTAAAAAATTCCATTTATGAGCTTGAATTGTTGAGAGAGCAATGCTAATATTTCCACAACAGAGAGAGAAGAGTGTGTGGGGTCTAGCAACTCAAACTTTCTATCTCTTAGTCAGTGTCGCAATGTCGTTAGTTATAGACTTTTCTTTATTGTAGCTGAGTCAAAATCACAATTGAATGGAGTCAAACATGCAATCCAATAATGAAGAGGCCCCACACCAAGATTGTGTATGTATATGCTGCATAAAGGCATATGCCAAAGATTGAAAACTATGCACCAGATTTAATATTCAATGATACAAAAGCAAAGCATTCTCATTTGTCCCATTTATATGATTCTAATAAAGTTGTTATCCATCTTTTGGCTTTTTCTTTGCATTTAGTACCTGAAACATTTTCCTCAATCTTGAGCTATCAGATTCCTTTTATTTTGCAAGGTGTCTTACCTACTTGTCCTGTACTACTTGCTTAGGCAAGAATGTCACCTCTTAGTGTGGAAAGTGAACTTGAATGTTATAGCTCTCAATTTTACTCCATTTTAGAATTTGATTATCATATCTTCACTTAGTACTGATATTTTATGACCACTAAACAGTAGATGGTTCTGTAACCCAAAAGAAAAAAGAAAAAAAAAGAAGGAAAAAAAAAAAAGGAAGAACATAATTGTGCTTATTAAATGCTTAAATTGCTTTCCTGAATATTTTGCTACTAAAGGTTTTCTTAAGTCAATTGTTTCTATTAAGAATCTGGTTCTGATTTTGCATATATTTTTCAAGAATTGAAATCACAGGATATGAGTTAACACTCTGTCATCAAGTTTAGCTTAGTACTATTGTAATGATGTTGATTAGCCTGCCAATATACAAACATAAAGAAGCAGATATTTTGCCCCTTTCCATAAGTCAAATTAAAGCCGGAGAGCAAGAAACGAGTACAAACACAACAAACAAGGTGGGATTGAGGGTTGTTTTTAGGCTTGACCTGTGGTGTGACCCTTTCAAACTTGGAACCAAATGTACCATGTCAATATCTAAAAGTAAGATTAAAAATTTAAAACCCACAAGGAAGGCTTTGATAAAGTAAATTAAGATTCAAGTGTACTGAGAATTGGCTTTGGTGTATTTTATGATCTATTTAAAGGATTCTAATACATTTTTATTTTCAAGACTGCCCAGAAGCTAATTTATACCAAATAGGATTGATCGATATGGAATCATTAGAAGCGAATTTGAAGCCATCTTGAAAAAAACATTTGTTCATAATAAATGTCATTTAATTCAGTTTCCTCCAGGTTAATACTTCACAGCTTTCCACCTTTCTGGCTTAGTCATAGGTTAGTGATTCAAATGTATGTTCTTTTTTTGCAGCTTTGATCCAAGTTCACAGAGACAGTGATAGTTCACAGTTATTAATTAAGTTTTGCATTTGGAAAGATGGCTGAGGAGAGCAATTTGGGTGGAGATACGAACACAGAGCAGGCTGCAACATCAACAAGCCATTCGCCAGTGATGGAGACTCAGAAAACAGCTGAGAATTCTTGCAGCCAGGATAATTCGGATAATACCCAGAAGAAAAATGAAGTGACTGAAACTGTTCCATATTTCAAACTGTTCTCCTTTGCTGACTCCACTGATCATGTGCTAATGTTTGTGGGCACAATCGCAGCTATAGGGAATGGAATCTGCATGCCCCTTATGACTGTGCTCATTGGAAATGTAATCAATTCCTTTGGACAGAATGTGAACTCAAAAAATGTGGTTCGTGAAGTTTCCAAGGTATCTTTAGCTTAACCTTGATACTCACTTCACCATAGTAAGACCAGTTCTTGTTTAATTTCTTGAAAAATAAGTTTCTTCCTGATCTGCAACGGTAAAAGAAAATTTTCAGAATTCTTATTGAAACTCTGAAAAATCTGATTCCATCAACAATTTGATGCCTTTTTAACTCAACAAAATTGTTTTTCCTGGACATTTATGCTTATATTTCAACACTTTGTGTGTTCTCCGTCCTGTTGTAGTAGAAGTATTAGTTTATTGAAAAAACAGTTATTGCTTTAGGCTCCTAACAAACAGTATAATATTTATTATCAGGTATCTGTTAGCTATATTTACTTGGCTCTGGGGTCTGGTTTTTCAGCATTTTTCCGTAAGTACATTAGGCTTCCTTCCTATAAAAGAATTTAGTTTTCTAGCTACCTAGTGTAAACAATTGTTTTCATTAAAGAAGTTGAGAAAAACATGTTTGCTACATTGCAGAGTTGTTTTGCTGGATGGTCACAGGGGAGAGGCAGGCTGCAAGAATTAGAAGTTTATACTTGAAAACTATATTGAGGCAAGATATTGGATTTTTTGACACAGACGCAAAAACTGGAGAAATTATTGAAAGGATGTCAGGCGACACATTCCTTATTCAAGATGCCATTGGTGAAAAGGTAATCCTGCTATGACATTGGAGCCCCAACATTATCAGCAATACTCTATTCCTATTTTCAGGTTAAATTGGTATTTTTCTTATTGATGCATTTAAAACAGGTTGGGAAGTTTATAACTGTGGTAGCTTCATTCTCAGGAGGCTTTGTTATAGCCTTCATCAAGGGTTGGCTTCTCACCCTTGTCATGATATCTTCAATTCCACCTCTTGTCCTCTCTGCTGCTGTCATGGCCCTCATTTTTGCAAAGCTAACATGCCGTGCACAAACTGCTTATTCACAAGCTGCAACTTTGGTCGAACAGACAATTGGCTCAATAAGAACGGTATGCAGAATTGACAAAAAGAGGGCTTAGCATTTCCTTTTTCTTTCATCACCCTTTACTTTGCCATTCAGGTTGCATCATTTACAGGGGAGAGGCAAGCTATAGCTAATTACAACAAGTCTCTTACTCAAGCTTACAAATCTGGTGTGCAAGAGGGCTTCGCTTCCGGGTTGAGTGCTGGTGTATTTTTGCTTGCCATATATAGCAGTTATGCTTTGGCTGTGTGGTTTGGGTCAAAATTGATATTAAACAAAGATTATACAGGAGGAGATGTGATCAATGTAGTCATGGCTGTGCTGACTGGTTCCTTGTGAGTTGCCCTCTGTTTTTGTTTTTAATATGTTAAAGAATGAATGCATGAGCCTCTGTTTGTTGTAGATGCATTGCTTGAATTTGATATTTGATTCTTTTGAAAAGATCACATAATTTGTATCCCATTTGGACTTTTACAGTGCTTTAGGACAGGCATCTCCATGCATGAGTGCATTTGCCGCTGGACGAGGTGCAGCTTTTAAAATGTTTGAGACAATCAATAGGAAGTCCGAGATAGATCCTTATGACACAAACGGATTGAAATTGGATGATATTCGTGGTGATATTGAATTAAAAGATGTTTATTTTAGCTATCCTGCAAGACCGAATGAGCAAATATTTAATGGATTCTCTCTCTCAATACCAAGTGGAACAACAGCTGCTTTGGTTGGACAAAGTGGAAGTGGGAAATCAACAGTTATCAGCTTGATAGAGAGGTTTTATGATCCACAAGCTGGTGAAGTTCTTATAGATGGTATCAATCTTAAAGAGTTCCAGCTTTGGTGGATCAGAGGAAAAATCAGTCTAGTTAGCCAGGAACCTGTGTTGTTCACTTCAAGCATTAAAGATAATATTGTCTATGGGAAGGATGGTGCAACCATTGAAGAAATTAAAGCTGCTACTGAGCTTGCCAATGTTGCCAAGTTCATAGATAAATTGCCTCAGGTGTAGATTTGGAATTGTTTGAATTTTTAAATTTTTTCCGAATATGCCAAACATTATTTGCTAAACGTTAGCAGAACATAAAAAAGACTCTACTTGTTACCTCTCCATCAAAAGAGTTCTTCCTAAACATCTTAATATTTTAATTTAGGTTTTGAAAGGATTTGACTTATAATTAATTTACCAGAATCCATGTTCTTCTCATTTTTCTTTTTAGTCACCTTTCCAGCTTTGTGTTTAATGATTTAGGGACTAGACACAATGGTCGGTGAGCATGGAACTCAGTTGTCTGGGGGCCAAAAGCAGAGAATTGCTATAGCTAGAGCAATTTTGAAAGACCCAAGGATTCTACTTCTGGATGAAGCTACAAGTGCTCTTGATGCAGAATCTGAGAGGGTTGTTCAGGAGGCATTGGACAAGGTTATGATCAACAGAACTACTGTAATTGTAGCCCATCGGTTGAGTACAGTGAGGAATGCAGATATGATTGCTGTCATTCATCAAGGAAAAATTGTGGAAAAAGGTTAATTGTAGTAGTTACATTCAAGTACCAGAAGTTGCCAAAGCTCAATTTCATTGCACATAGTGCTGTAATTTTCTAATAAATTAAATAGCCGCCACCTGAGCTATATAAGGCTTGTTCATCTATATTGATTGTTTTTCTGAACTTTTCTTTCTTTCTACTTATCAGGTTTGCACTCTGAACTACTACAAGATCCTGAAGGAGCATACTGCCAACTTATACGGTTGCAAGAACGTAGCGAAGAATCAGAACAAAATGCAGTAAATGATCAGTGTATTCCAGAGATCTCTGCAGATTCTGGAAGACATTCAAGTCAGCAGATGTCCTTCATACGATCCATAAGCCGGGGATCATCTGGAAGTGGAAGCAGTAGCCATCACTCAGTCTCAGTTTCTTCACGTGTAACCACTGCAGTCAGTGTCCTGGATACAGGTGCAGAACCCAAGACTCCAGCCTCAGCAACATCACAAAAGGCCCCAGAAGTCCCACTACGACGATTGGCTTATCTGAACAAGCCAGAGATCCCAGTGCTATTACTTGGTTCATTTGGTGCAGTGGTTTCTGGTCTAGTATTGCCAATTTTCGGGGTACTTCTTTCTAGAATAATCAAAACTTTCTATGAGCCAGCTCATGAGCTTCGGAAGGATTCCAAATTCTGGGCATACATGTTTCTTGTTCTTGGCGTGGCAGCTTTTATCTCACTCCCGCTAAGAACATACTCTTTTGCTGTGGCGGGGTGTAAGTTAATAAAACGGATCAGATTGATGTGTTTTGATAAAGTGGTTCACATGGACATAAGTTGGTTCGATGAAGCAGATCACTCAAGTGGTGCAATTGGAGCAAGGCTTTCATCTGATGCAAATTTTTTGAGAAGTTTGGTTGGAGACACACTTGCTTTGATCGTTCAGAATGTTGCAACAGCTACAGCTGGTTTGGTTTTTGCCTTTGCAGCGAGCTGGCAACTGGCTCTTATAATTCTTGTTATGGTACCTCTAATAGGGCTAAATGCATTTCTTCACATGAAGTTCCTTAGAGGATTCAGTGCTGATGCAAAGGTTAGATCCAAACCTCGGCCAATAGGACAAAAAGGCAATTGGAACTTACAAATTTATCATTTTTTTCCCTATATGTTAATTCTTTAGAACTGCCAGTGAAGTCATATTTTGTGTTTTAACCATCTAACATAGGATATGAGTTTAGTGTTTCATTGTAATAATCTGGACCTATTTAAATGCTTACAGAAAATGTATGAGGAGGCAAGTCAAATTGCTAGTGATGCAGTTGGGAGTATTAGAACAGTTGCTTCTTTCTGTGCTGAAGAGAAGGTGATGCAGCTGTACCGAAAGAAATGTCAAGGCCCTATGAAAGCTGGAGTAAAACAAGGCCTAATTAGTGGTGCAGGTTTTGGATTGTCCTTTTTTTTCCTATTTTGTGTCTACGCGACCAGTTTCTATGCTGGAGCTCGGTTTGTTGAGGATGGCAAGACAACATTCGCTAACGTTTTCCAGGTAATCAAGCTATTCACAACCATATATGCGCTAGAAATCGATTCATACTATCATCTTAATGTTTATTACTAATAGACTACTTTGTTACTTGAACACTAAATTAGTTCTTGGTTCTTCTTTCCATTCTGAATCTTTACCTACTGTCTTGGTTTGCAGGTCTTCTTTGGTCTCAGCATGTCAGCCGTTGCTATTTCTCAAACAGGCCCCCTCGCTCCTGATTTCAGTAAGGCCAAGACTGCTGTTGCTTCTATCTTTGCGATTCTTGACCAGAAATCTAAAATAGACGCAAGTGTCGACTCTGGGACAACACTAGAAAATGTGAAGGGAGATATTAAGTTTCATCACGTCATTTTCAAGTATCCCTCTAGACCTGACATTCAAATTTTCAGGGACCTTTGCTTGTATATTCACTCTGGCAAGGTAACTTTCCAGTAATTACTGATTCTCAAGGCCTATACTTTTCTTTTACTTGATGGAAAGCCTTACACAAGTTGATACATATATATATCCTACAGTTTGACATAATAGCATTCCAAAGGACCAAAACTAACAGTTTGAATCTCATTTATCAGACTGTTGCCCTGGTTGGAGAAAGTGGGAGTGGGAAATCAACAGTTATTTCTATGTTGCAAAGATTTTATGACCCTGAATCAGGTCAAATCACCCTAGATGGTGTTGAAATCCGAAAGCTAAAGCTGAAATGGTTACGGCAGCAGATGGCCTTGGTGAGCCAGGAGCCAGTCTTGTTCAATGACACAGTCCGAGCCAACATAGCATACGGAAAGGAAGGAGATGCAACAGAGGCAGAAATTTTAGCTGTAGCAGAGTCAGCAAATGCTCACAAGTTCATTAGTGGTCTACAACAGGTTAAAACTCTCTAATCTAATAGACAATAATGAAAAGAAATGGCACACATTCATCTTCTTTTTCCACCATTCTCTGATCCTTGGGTTATGGAAAACATATCGAGAATGCTTTATTTATCCAACCTCCTGAGTTATGGAAATGCAGGGCTATGATACAGTGGTGGGTGAGCGAGGGATTCAACTGTCGGGTGGACAGAAGCAAAGGGTGGCAATTGCACGTGCCATGGTGAAGGATCCAAAGATACTACTACTAGATGAGGCCACTAGTGCCCTCGATGCTGAATCCGAGAAAGTGGTTCAAGATGCACTGGACCGAGTTATGGTGGACAGAACCACGGTGGTGGTGGCTCACAGGCTATCGACAATTAAGGGTGCGGATTTGATTGCGGTGGTTAAAAATGGAGTCATTGCAGAGAAGGGAAAGCATGAAACCTTGATCAATGTTAAAGATGGTATTTATGCCTCCCTAGTGACACTGCACATTAGTGCTTCATCATGTTAGAGAGCTACTTGTGCTCTTTTTTCACCATATATTTTTTAGAAAGTAGTAGATGCTATGGACTTGTTTGTTCTTCAACTGCACCTAGTTTATGCTCATTTTCATGTATACCAATGTTTCTTGGCTAGTGTAATGTCTAGTATGGTTTCTTGTAAAGGAACAAAAATACTACATGATTAGAAGAAATTTAAGGCAATACCAAGTTTTACGTAGATAAATCTCAATTGATTAATTGATAGTTTATTGTTCAATTATAGACTCACATAATCTCAATTAATCAATTACAAAAGAGAAAGAAGTGTGATGTTGTCTAGGAAGCATGGATAGGTGTCATGGTAGCGTACACGTGTAACAAGGTTGAATTAGAAATACTTAAAACGCGTTTTTGTTGTTGGGGTCAATTTATATATATATTTTTTAAAATCAGGGGGCTCAACTCAAATTTTAAAATCTAAAAAAAAAAAACAAAAAGAAGCTTAAAAGCCCAACAACATATCTTTTTTTGCGTATCCTTGATTGTGTCCATATTTTATTTTTCAAAATTTATTGTATTGTTGTTGCTGTATGGTGTCGTATGTGTGTTCATGCCTATGCTTATGTGGGTGTAATAAAAGGTTCTAAAAATCTTTAAAACAATATTCGGAAAGATATTTAATTTTGTCTTAGTAGATAAAATATATCGACACTGAAGAGGTCCAATTCTCCTGATTTTTTAAATAAGTAATATGACCAAATTATTCTTCAAAAGTGAAGTCCTGGTAAAGTCTAACATTTTATATTAAAAAATTAATTAAAAATAAACTACTTGACATCACGTGATCAACTTTATACATTCAAAATTTGGACTTGGAATCATTTCTTCATATTCTTTCTTCTTTTATTATTATTATTATTATTATTATTATCAAAATTCAGACTAAAGTTGAAGTCAAGAAAAGTAGAGCATGATTTTTGAAGTAAGCCGATCACTTTTAACACATGTTTATAATTTAAAACTATAATCATGTAAAATAACTCTACTGAATTACAAATTCTTTCTCTAAATAATTAATTTATTGTAATTATGAACAAATTCATTACAAAAGATTATTTTATCATTTTTTATTAAATTATTAAATTATTTTTATTACCTTTTTTCTTATCTAAAAATTAATTATACCATTTACTATGATCCTCCCCCTTAGCCAATACGAGGGAACGGACGAATAAACTGAACATCAGTCCCTCTGAGTTTGAGGTTAAGGCTGGATTTAATTTTATTATTAGTATCAATTTATCATAAAAATGAAGAAAAAAATTTGTAACTACTATTTTCTAAAATAATTAATTTATTATTAAAATTTTACTATTTATAATAAACATATTATACTTAGTTGAAACTTTTTTACCATAAAAATACATTCTTTTCATACTATATAATATATATACACACACACACAAACATGAAAAAAATAATAAATTACTTAATCTTAAAATACCTTATTTTTTATACAATATATTGATGAAAAATTAAAAATTACTTAAATTGTTTTAAAAAAATTTACTAAAGATTTTTATTCAAATAATTAATTTCAAAAAGTAAAGATAAATTTATGCAAATTTATTGAAAAACATATCATCAAATTAGTATTATTTTTTTTAATAATTTATTTTAATAAAAAAAATTGATCAGACATAATTGAGGCATTTTGCAAATAAATGTAATAGTTTAGATACTATTTTGCATAAAATATACTTGGAATTATTTTCAAATTCAGACATAATTTAGGGATTTATTTATTTATTAATTTGTTCACTTAACCCTATTTTTTCACAAGTTTAAAAAATTCTAGTTATAGAATTCCGAAAAACTCCCAAATATGGACCCAAAAAAACCAAAAAAAAAAAAAAAAAAAAAAAAAAGGGGAAAACTCCCAAATATGCAGAGAAGTCTGAAATGTTGCGGTCCATTTAGTGCCTGTCCGGATGCGAAACGAGCGCGTGCGAGTCAAGAAGGATTGTGGCGGCGTAAATACCGACAATGCTTGATTTGATCTCTTCACACTACGAATTAATTCGTGTTTTTTTCAGTGTTCGAATCTCAAAACCAAAAGCAATGGTGGTCTCCGGCGTGATTTCCCGGCCTATTCTGTGCTTCTCATGCGGCGGAATTGGTCCCCACTCTCACTCTCATGCAAAAGGAATAGGATAGGCAGCATTTGTAGCGCAACAAATACTACCTGGACTTATATTTCAATTGGAGGTATGTAGCCGGTAAAAAATTCAATAAAGTTGCACATTTAATTGAGAGTTCATTTAAAATTGACCGAGACTACATGATTCAGGATTATCTAATAATTTCTTAATCGAACGAACCCGGTCTATCCACCGAATCTTATCAGCTAAGCACATCGGTTTAGAAATTAGGTTAGAATATAATTTTTGTGTGTAGTAGTGACATATTGATTAGGCATGCATGCGTGTAAATGAATGATAGACAAAAGTGGAGCGACCTTTAATTGTTTTTAAAAAGAACTCATTTATGAGCTTGAAATGTTGTATGTGAGAGTCAACATCACAATTGAATGGGGCTCAAACATGCAAGCCAATGAAGAGGCCCTTTTATATGATTCTCATTATACATATCACATAAACTAATAGCCCTCTGGGAGTTGTTTGTTATCCATCTTTTGGCTTTTCCTCAATCTTGAACTATGGCCAGATTCCTTTATAATTGTGCTTATTAAATGCTTGAGTAGCTTTCCTAGATATTAATTTTCTGCTAAACTTGTCTTAGCCAATTGTTTCTATTTATAATTTATTTGGTTCTGATTTTTGCATATATTGTTGAAGAAATGAAATCACTGGATATGAATTAATACTTTGTCATCAAGTGTTGTTTAGCACTATTTTAATTAGATACTTAATGATTAGTGTGACCAATAAACATACAAAAAGAAGCAGGTACTCTGCCCCTTTCTATAAGTCAAACTAAAGCTGGAGAGCAAGTGGAGAGCAAGAAACTAAGTATAAACACAACAAACAAGGTGGGATTGAGGATTGTTTTTAGGCTTGACCTGTGGTGTGACTGTTATGACAAATGCAACGAACTCAAGTTGAACCAAGAATCACGAAAGAAAAGTAAACACGCCACACAAAGAATACAAAGATTTATACGCAGTTCGGCAACAACTTACGTTCACGGTTGGGATCCGGCGAAAGTTTTCACTATGTGCAAAATCAGAGATTACAAGTTTTAGCCCCTCATTCTGTTTCTGTACGAATATTAGAGTCTCTCTCATCCCCCACTCCAAACTCGAAGTGCCCTTATATCGGGCCACAAGAGACTAATTAGGGTCCACGACCCATGAGCAAAAAACAGGTCAAATGGGTCGTCGGGTCATAAGCAGGTCGTAATGCGACCTGGCACCAAATTCGGGCCACAATATCACAGTGACTCTTCCAGATTTAGAACCAAATTTACCATGTCAATATTTAAAGGTAAGATTAAAGCCCACAATGCAAGTTTTGATAAAGTAAATTAAGATTCAAGTGTAATAAGAATCAGCTTCGGCGTTTTTTGTATTTGAATTAAAGGATTCAAATACATCTTTTATTTTCAAGACGACTTCGGAATTATCTCTTCTAAATTCCCATAAGCTAATTTATAATTTGGAATCCACTAGGTGTGATTTTGATTCTGTATCTTAATGCAACAATAGTAGTAAAATGTTAGAAATGAAGCTTCTGTATATATAAGAGCCTTACACAGAAGAGAGGATGTGCATTCTAAGATATTAAGTACTTCCAAAATATGCATTCTAAGATATATGCTATATGATATTCTTTAAACAATGATGCATAATTGCCCAAACAAAAACGAAATCATAACATTTATTATTTTAGCCAGCATTGTACATGTATAAATAAGCTAATATTTATATATGTATGTATTTTATATGATTGTTACCAAATAAGACATTGATTGAGTAACAAAACCTGTTATTATCACGACGTGGGTGGAAATGGGCAATCATATTCTAATCAGCTGATAGATGCTTTTCCCCCACCCTTTGAATGCAATTGATGGTGTTAGCAGAATAATTAAAGAAACATAAATGATGAAAATGATTTAAAGTTGAATGTATATTATGTTTATTAATTACTATTGTGGTGTTACCAATATGATGATAGATCATATTGATAACACCACAATAGTATAAAAACAAGCCCAAATATGAACATATTTAGCATAAAAATATGGAAATCAGAAAATAATATATGGTACATTTGATATTTCTTACCATTAGTTTGACTGATCTTTGATCATCTTAATTTTCAGTGGTTTCTGGGGCTTAGCCAAATAGTTACAGGCTATAGTGCTTTAATTGCAAGGGAAATGCAGAGGAAAAGAATTATCATATGATATACCCCCGAAAAATATATATATGTACTATCATTTAGATTCCCCATTAACTAGTAATTAATATAAGTCTAAAAGTAATGACTAACTATTCTTAGTATGAGGAAGAGAAATGGTATCCCTGTATCTTAACATACTATATTTCTCTTATAAAATGTAGAGTTTGTATGTTTCAACTTTCACGTAAAGTACTTTCAGTGATGAGTTTGATTTGTATTAATGGTCAAAGAATGTTCAGATGCAGGGTTTTGGAGCATTATTCTCAGAGATCTGATGCAGAAATTATTCTAGAAAATTCATTTTTTTTCTTGGAAAAATATCTCTCCTCTATGCGCTGGAAAAGACATTTTTTATTAGCAGTGAATCACACCTGTGAACTGTAAAATTGTTTGCATAATTGGGACTCACAATTATTGTGAAGTTGTGGCCCGGATTTTGTTTCTGTCCAGATCATATAGCGACCTGATTTTGACTCGATTATTTGACTCATTTTGTCTTGCAGGTCATGGACTCAGGTTTTAGTCTTTGTTATAACCCATGTACAAGGGTGGAATAGAGAGTGAGAGAGACAAAGGGTTGTGGACATAGGCTATACGCTGAACCACGTAAATCTTTGTATATTGTGTGGTGCATGATTTATTTTCTGTTGTTTTTTGATTGTGTTCTTGGTTTAGCGGTGTTTGTCGTAACAATTATCTTGGTAATTTAGTTGTGTGACCTCGAAAAGTTATATTATGACTGTGACATTGTGGCCCGAATTTGGTGCCGGGGCTTATGATCTGACGACCCATTGGAAGGAAAAAAATTTACCCGTCTTTTGTTCATGGGTCGTGGACCCTAATTAGTCTCTTGTAGCCTGATATATAAGGGCACTTAGGGTTTGGAGTGGTGTAAGAGATATACTTTGAAATTTGTACAAAAACAAAGTGGGGTTGAAAACTTGTAATTTCCGATTTTACACATAGTGAAAACTTTCGCCAGATCTCAACCGTGGACGTAGGCTGTTGTCGAACCACGTATAAATCTTTATGTGGTGTGTTTACTTTTCTGTCGTGATTCTTGATTTTATCTTGGGTTCATTACATTAGTCATAACAATGACTATATTAGAAATACACATTTTATATAGTTCTATTTATTGGCTAAATTTTTTAATTTATATTTTTAATCGATTTATTGAAGAAAACTCAGAGTGTCATTAGCTCGTATCCAGTATGCCACAGTTGTTATTTATCAAGAAATGGTTTCTTGGAAGAATGGAGGAGAAAATATAACAGTGAAAGGTTGGTTAGTGTCTTGAATGATATATGATATCTGAAATACCACGGAAGTAGACTCTACTCTTATACTAGAATCTCATAGTCAAAGGGGAGATTCCTCAAAAGTTGGAATCCATCAGAAGTAAACCTTTCTCAATATTTTGGGGAGTTTGAAGTTGGTGGGATTTCTGATATCAGCTTGTTCTGATTTTGATCAACTCTTCCCTTCCTCCACTCTCTGGTATAGGTCTACTCTGTTTATTACAAAATATATGGGGTGTTTGTGATTTTATTTTCTCACAAAAACTAGCAGTTCATGTAGTGATGTTGCCGATTTTAGTGAACTCAGGCTCTTTGTTTCAAATGATTGCAAGTTGGATTCTTTTCCTTTTCCTTTCTCACCCTTCTCTTATTTGTCATGAAATAGTCTTGTGCCTTTTCTGTTTCCAGCATGTCTTGAAAACGTTTAATTTTCTACGAGTTCTTGTAGTTGTTTAGATATATCATGATGGTTTTGTATAGTGCCTAAAAATAGATGAAACACCACCTTTGCTCTATGTGTTGCATGTCTTCACTTGTTATAAGGTTAATCAAATTGTGAGTCTTTCATAATAGAATCCTTATTTTCCACTTATTATTATTATTATTATTATTTAAAGTGTTATGCTTGTTTTTATTTAACAATTGATCTCTCTTTGTTTTGCTTTGAATGTCAATGCTAGCCTCTCTTTTTGTAAAGATTTCAGTTTTTCTGTGGTTGCTGGTTGCGTGGGATTAAAGCAGTAGCCTGAATTTTGAGGATCAACATGTATATATATATATATATTGGTAACTATTGAGGATCAAAATTCCCCTCATAAAGAAGCCATCTCAGCAAAAACATTCGTTCATAGTTAACGACATTGAATTTCAGTTTGCTCTTGGTAAATACTTAACAGCTTTCCACTATTTTGCTTTTCTGGCCTAGTGATAGGTTTCTGATTCAAAAGTATGTTCTTCTTTTGCATCCGTGATCCAATTCACCAAGTTAGTGATAGTTCACAGTTAGTAAATTAAGTGCTGCATTTGGGAAGATGGCTGAGGAGAGCAATTTGGGTGGAGATGCGAACACAGAGCAAGCTGCAACATCAACAAGCCATTCACCAGTGATGGAGATTCAGAAAACAGCTGAAAATTCTTGCAGCCAAGATAATTCGGATAATACCCGAAAGAAAAATGAAGTCACTGAAACTGTTCCATATTTCAAACTGTTCTCCTTTGCTGACTCTACTGACCATGTACTAATGCTTGTGGGCACAATCGCAGCGATAGGGAATGGAATCTGCATGCCCCTTATGACTCTGTTGATTGGAGATGTAATCAATTCCTTTGGACTGAATGTGAACTCAAAAAATGTGGTCCATGAAGTTTCTAAGGTATTTTTAGCTTAACCTTGATGCTCTTTTTTTTGTTTTTTTTTTTTTTGATAAATAAAATTTTATTAAAAAACGCTCAAAAGGGGAGCGGATCCCAAGAAAAAAACAAAAGACCACAAAGGCCTCAAGCCTTCAAGGAGGTCAAAAAGTCAACAATCTCCTCCAACGATCTATGATCTCTCCCTAAAACCCAACAAAAAAGAGTGGAAAGAATCGAGAATTTAAACACCGAAATCGACATCGCCTTTCCTTCAAATTATCTCCTATTCCTTTCAAGCCAAATACACCACCACACACAAAGCGGCGTAGCCCTCCACGCATCCTGACTGTGAGCCCCCACAGGGCAACCTCTCCACGCCTCAATCAACCCTCTAGCGGATCCTGGCATAACCCAAGAAAACCCAAATAAGCCAATCATCAAATCCCAACACTCTCTAGCCAAAGACCAATGAATGAGAAGGTGATCCACGGATTCCTCATCACGAAGACACATATAACAACGATTGACCACCACCTGGCTTCTCCTTCTCAAATTATCTTGGGTTAAGATCCTACCCAGAACCGAAGTCCACACAAAGAAAGCCACCTTGAGAGGAGCCTTAGAACGCCAAACAAAATTCCAAGGAAAACGAACTCCAGGATCAAACGAGAGACACCTGAAGAAAGACCTCACTTCAAAACGCTCCTGGGAGTTTGCAACCCAAGACCAACAATCCGAATCCTCCTCCACAATTCTGTGGTGATACAACAGCTCCAAGAAACGAATGGCCTCCTTGATCTCCCAATCCTGAAAGAAATGCTTGAATCGAACATCCCAAACCAGTCTTCCATTATCAAGATGATAACAGTTGACCACCATGGCCTGCCTATCCGAAGCAATCCTATAAAGCTGAGGAAAAGCGAGAGCGAGAGGAACATCTCCACACCACATCCTCCCAAAAACAAATCCTCCTCCCATCTCTAAGTCGAAACCGAATGTGTTAACCTTGATGCTCACTAGTCACTACTCATAGCAAGACCAATTATTGCTTAATGTCTTGAAAAATAAGTTTCCTCTTGATCTGCTATGCTAAAAGATAATTATTAGAGTTCTAATTGAAACTTTGAAAAGTCTGATTCCTCATCAATTTGATGCCATTTTGACTCAACAAAATAGTTTTTCCCGGTCATTTATGCCTAAAATCTTCAATTTGTGTGTTCTCCATCCTGTTGTGGTAGAAGTATTAGTGTATTGGTAAAATCAGTTATTGCTTTAGTCTCCTAACAAACTGTATGAAATTTGTTTTCAGGTATCTGTTAGGTATATTTACTTGGCTCTGGGGTCTGGTTTTTCAGCATTTTTCCGTAAGTACATTTGCTTCCTTCTGATAAAAGAATTTAGTTTTCTAGCTACCTCGTATAAATTATTGGTTTTGAGATGTTTTGGCCTGAATTTGTTTCGGCCTGGGTCGCTTTCAACCCAAAAATATGAGGGCATTTAGGGTTTGGAGTGGGATAAGGAGAAATCGCACGAAAGAGAGTGAGAGCGATAGATAGGGTTTGGGGACTGAAACTTAAAATCTCCTGTTTTTCGCATAGTGAAACTTCACCGTGGGCATAGGCTTAGACTTAAGCCGAACCACGTAAATCTTTGTGTTCTTTGTGTATGGCGTGTTTACTTTTCTGTTGTCATTCTTGTTTTCTTCTTGGTTCACTGCGTTTGTTGTAACAATTTTGATTAAAGCAACTGATTAAAAATGTTTGCTACATCACAGAGTTGTTCTGCTGGATGGTCACAGGGGAGAGGCAGGCTGCAAGAATTAGAAGTTTATACTTGAAAACTATATTGAGGCAAGATATTGCATTTTTTGACACAGACGCTAAAACCGGAGAAATTATTGAAAGGATGTCAGGTGACACTTTCCTTATTCAAGATGCCATTGGTGAAAAGGTATTGCTGCCGTGACAAGGGAGCACAAAAATTATCAGCAATATATATTCATATTTTTAGCTTGTATTGGTAACTTTTTAATAATGTATTTACAACAGGTTGGAAAGTTTATAGTGGTGGTAGCTTCATTCTTTGGAGGGTTTGCAATAGCTTTCATCAAGGGTTGGCTTCTCACCCTCGTCATGATATCTTTGATTCCACCTCTTGTCATCTCTGGTGCTGTCATGGCCATTGTTTTAGTGAAGCTAACATCCCGTGGACAAACTGCTTATTCACAAGCTGCAACTGTGGTAGAACAGACAATTGGCTCAATAAGAACGGTATGCAGAATTTCAAAAAAGAGGGCTCAGCATTTCCTTTTTTCTTTCACCGCCCTTTACTTTCCATTCAGGTTGCATCATTTACGGGGGAGAGGCAAGCTATAGCTAATTACAACAAGTCTCTTACTCAAGCTTACAAATCTAGTGTGCAAGAGGGCTTGGCTACCGGGTTGAGTGCTGGTGTATTTATGCTTGTAATATACTGCAGTTATGCTTTGGCTGTATGGTTTGGGTCAAAAATGATATTAAAAAAAGATTATACAGGAGGAGATGTACTGACTGTAGTCATGGCTGTGGTGACTGGCTCCTTGTGAGTTGCCATTTTTTTCTCTTCTCAGTTTTTAACAGTTTGGTTACTATGTTTAAGAATGAATGCATGAGCCTCTGTTTGTTGTATAACAACTGATTGAATTTTATATTTGATTCTTTTGAAAAGATCACATGATTTGTATCCCATTTGGACTTTTACAGTGGTTTAGGACAGGCATCTCCATGCATGAGTGCATTTGCCGCTGGACGAGCTGCAGCATTTAAAATGTTTGAGACAATCAATAGGAAGTCAGAGATCGATCCTTATGACACAAATGGACTGAAATTGGATAATATTCGTGGTGATATTGAACTAAAAGATGTTTATTTTAGCTATCCAGCAAGACCAGATGAGCAAATATTTAATGGATTCTCTCTCTCAATACCAAGTGGAACAACTTCAGCTTTGGTTGGACAAAGTGGAAGTGGGAAATCAACAGTAATAAGCTTGATAGAGAGATTTTATGATCCACAAGCTGGTGAAATTCTTATAGATGGTATTAATCTTAAAGAGTTCCAGCTTTGGTGGATTAGAGGAAAAATTGGTCTAGTCAGCCAGGAACCTGTGTTGTTCACTACAAGCATTAAAGATAATATTGCATATGGGAAGGATGGTGCCACCATTGAAGAAATTAAAGCTGCTACTGAGCTTGCCAATGTTGCCAACTTCATAGATAAATTGCCTCAGGTCTAGATTTGGAATTGATCGAAAAAATTTCTTTTTCCTCTTTCACTTCTTTTGAAGATTTGCCGAATATTGGAAATATCTGCCTCACCCCCAAAAATAAGTAGAAGAAAATGAAAAGATTCTACTTGTTGACTCTCCATCAAAAGAGTTTTGCTAAACAACTTAATTTTTAATTTATATTTTAGAAGGATTTAGCATCTAATTAATTTACCAGAGCCCATTTTCTTATGAGTTTTCATTTAAGTCACCTTTTTAAGTTCTACAGCATTGTGTTTAATGATTTAGGGACTCGACACGATGGTTGGTGAGCATGGAACTCAGTTGTCTGGGGGCCAAAAGCAGAGAATTGCAATAGCTAGAGCAATTTTGAAAGACCCTAGGATTCTACTTCTGGATGAAGCTACAAGTGCTCTTGATGTAGAATCTGAGAGGGTTGTGCAAGAGGCACTGGACAGGGTTATGATCAACAGAACTACCGTAATTGTAGCCCATCGGTTGAGTACAGTGAAGAATGCAGATATGATTGCTGTCATTCATCAAGGAAAAATTGTTGAAAAAGGTTTGTGTTTTGCGTAGTGTCCTAGCAGTTACATTCATGTACCAGAAGTTGCTCAAGCTCAATTTCATTGCACATATTGCTGCAATTGATGAATAAATTAAATAGCTGATACTTTATTCTCTCTCACCAACTGATTTCTTTAAGTCTTGTTCATCTATATTGATGATTTTTCTGAATATTTTTCCCTCTCAACTGATCAGGTTCACATTCTGAACTACTCCAAGATCCTGCAGGAGCATACTGCCAGCTTATACAATTGCAAGAACATAGCAAAGACTCAGAACAAAATGCAGTAGATGATCCGGATATGCTAGAGATCACCGCAGATTCTGGAAGATATTCAAGTCAGAGGATGTCCTTCATAAGATCCATAAGCCAGGGATCATCTGGAAGTGGAAACAGTAGCCGTCACTCATTCTCAGTTTCTTTACGTGTAACCACTGCAGTCAGTGCCCTGGATACAGATGGAGAACCCAAAACTCCAGTCTCAGCAACATCACAAAAGGCCCCAGAAGTCCCACTGCGGCGATTGGCTTATCTGAACAAGCCAGAGATCCCAGTGCTATTACTTGGTTCATTTGGTGCAGTGGTTGCTGGTCTAGTATTGCCAATTTTCGGGGTACTTCTTTCTAGAATAATCAAAACTTTCTATGAGCCAGCTCATGAGCTTCAGAAGGATTCAAAATTCTGGGCATACATGTTTCTTATTCTTGGCATGGCAGCTTTCTTCTCAATCCCACTAAGAATATACTCTTTTGCTGTGGCGGGGTGTAAGTTAATAAAACGGATCAGATTGATGTGCTTTGAGAAAGTGGTTCACATGGATATAAGTTGGTTCGATGAAGCAGATCACTCAAGTGGTGCAATTGGAGCAAGGCTTTCTTCTGATGCAACTTTCGTGCGAAGTTTGGTTGGAGACACACTTTCGTTGATCATTCAGAATGTTGCAACAGCTACTGCTGGTTTGGTTATTGCTTTTGCAGCATGCTGGCAACTGGCTCTTATAATTCTTGTCATGGTACCTCTAATAGGACTAAATGGATATCTTCACATGATGTTCATGAAAGGATTCAGTGCTGATGCAAAGGTTAGATCCAAACCTCGGCCAATAAGAAAAAAAGGGCAATTGGAACTCGCAAGTTTATTAATTTTCCCTATATGTTAATACTTTAGAACTGCAAGTGAATTTATATTTTCTGTTTTAACTATCTATCATAGGCTATTAGTTCAGTGTAATTAGTCCGTTGTAATAAGTTGCAACTATTTAAATGCTTACAGAAAATGTACGAGGAAGCAAGTCAAATTGCTAGTGATGCTGTCGGGAGTATTAGAACAGTTGCTTCTTTCTGTGCTGAAGAGAAGGTGATGCAGCTGTATCAAAAAAAATGTGAAGGCCCTATGAATGCAGGAGTAAGTCAAGGCCTAATTAGTGGTGGAGGTTTTGGATTGTCCTTTTTTTTTCTATTTTGTGTCTATGCGACCAGTTTTTATGCTGGAGCTCAGCTTGTTGAGGATGGCAAGACAACATTCGTTGAAGTTTTTCAGGTAATCAAGCTTGTCAACCATATATGCATTAGAAACTGAGTCATATTATTGTCTTGATATTCATTACACATAGACTACTTTGTTACTTGACCGCTAAAATAGTTCTTGGTTGTTCTTGTCGTTGTTAATCTTAACCTATTGCTTTGGTTTGCAGGTCTTCTTTGGTCTCAGCATGTCAGCCGTTGCTATTTCTCAAACAGCCCCCCTTGCTCCTGATTTTAGTAAGGCCAAGACTGCTGTTGCTTCTATCTTTGCGATTCTTGACCAGAAATCCAAAATAGACGCAAGTTTCGACTCTGGAACAACACTAGAAAATGTGAAGGGAGATATTAAATTTCATCATGTCATTTTCAAGTATCCCACTAGACCTGACATTCAAGTTTTCAGGGACTTCTGCTTGACCATTCACTCTGGCAAGGTAACTTTCGATAATGACTGATTCTCAAAGCCCATACTTTTCTTCTACTTGATGGCAAGCCTTACACAAGTTGATACATACATATATATCCTATAGTTTAACATAACAACATTCCAAAACTAACAGTCTGAATGTCATTTATCAGACTGTTGCTCTGGTTGGAGAAAGTGGGAGTGGGAAATCTACAGTGATTTCTTTGTTGCAAAGATTTTATGACCCTGATTCAGGTCAAATCACCCTAGATGGTATTGAAATCCAAAAGCTAAAGCTGAAATGGTTAAGGCAGCAGATGGGATTGGTAAGCCAGGAGCCAGTCTTGTTCAATGACACAGTCCGAGCCAACATAGCATATGGAAAGGAAGGAAATGCAACAGAGGCAGAAATCTTAGCTGCAGCAGAGTCAGCAAATGCTCACCAGTTCATTAGTGGTCTACAACAGGTTGAAACTCTCTAATTCTAATGCATTTTAAGTTTAGAATCACCTAAGAAAATTTAACAACGACTGGGTATAATCTAATTGCATTGACAACAATCCATTGTTGGGAATGCATTATTGTCATATATGTTCAAAGGTAAATAGCACACCTGTATTTTCTTTTTCCACCATTCTTTAATCCTTGGTTATGTCAAACATATCTAACATGCTTAATTTATCCAACCTCCTGAGTTATGGAAATGCAGGGCTATGATACAGCCGTAGGTGAGCGAGGGATCCAACTGTCGGGTGGACAGAAGCAAAGGGTGGCAATTGCACGGGCCGTGGTGAAGGATCCAAAGATACTACTACTAGATGAGGCCACCAGTGCCCTCGATGCTGAATCCGAGAAAGTGGTTCAAGATGCACTGGACCAAGTTATGGTGGACAGAACCACGTTGGTGTTGGCTCACAGGCTATCGACAATTCAGGGTGCGGATTTAATTGCAGTGGTTAAAAATGGAGTCATTGCAGAGAAGGGAAAGCATGAAACTCTGATCAATATCAAGGATGGTATTTATGCCTCCCTAGTAGCACTGCACATTAGTGCTTCATCATCTTAGAGAGCTACTTGTGCTCTTTTTTCACCATATATTTTTTAGAAAGAAGTAGATGCTATGGACTTGTTTGCTCTTTTGCTGCTCCTAGTCTATGCTCCCTTTTATGTACAGCAAGTTTTTTTTAGCTAAGTGCAATGCATAAGATGGTTTCTTGCAGATGAACAAATATTCCATGCATAGAAGAAAAGGCAATTTCCAATTTTACATAGATAAATTTGAATTGATTAGTTGATAGATTATTGTTCAAGTACAATTCTCCTAATCTCAAACAATCAATTAACTAGTTTGTGAGCAAATAATCTTATTAATCATGAAATAAAGCAATCTACAAAGCTATGATAAAAGACCATAGATTTTACATGGAAAACCTCAACAATGGAAAACCACGGGTATTATCCAAACGCTAACAATCCATAAGAAAATAGCATAACTCTAGGTTATATACTATTTGTTCATAAGAACCAACTGAGCTAATTTACCCAATTTACCCCTGACCCAAAGTTACCCTGTTTTTATCATTACTCTACAGTGAATATTGCCAGTAAACTTGTAATCTACTAAGTCTCCCAAGTCCCATGTAGTAGAGTTGGTCAGTTGAGAGCTGGTGTATTTGTAATCCTGACTATCCTCTTAGTTCTCTTAGTTGGCCTCCTTACTTACCTTCTCACTTGGTGGAATAGACACTAAATCAACAATAAGATTATTATTTTAGCCTGCATTGTGCATATCTAAATGAATATATCTATTTGTATATTTGTTATTTCCAAATATGACATCCATTAAGTAACAAACCTTAAGTTGTCCAGACAAGGATGTTGTTTTCACAGAAGAAGTTATAGTTTCTGGTGATGGGATAATTGCTACATCACAACCTCGTACGGACAACATTAGAATTTTCAATGGGAGTAGTTTAATTGAAGGATCTTCTGAGGCTGAGCTTTCAGCTAGAGGTAGTATTATTTTTCCGAAAAAAAGCTGTTACTATCGTGATGTGGGGACCAATCATATTTTATTCAGCTTATATGATTCATTACCCTTTCCTCTGAATGCAATTGATGGTGTTAGCATGGAATAATTAAAGAAACGTAGAATGACGAAAATGATTTATAGTTGGCTGTATATTATTATGCTTTTTTAATTACTATTGTGTTGTTCTTCATTTGATGATGGATCCATCCAATGTATCAGAGAAATAATGATTATCAAATCAAATGAAAACAAGCCAATGAATATTTTGAAGTTAGATATACGAACATCTTGAGAATAAAAATAGAGAAATCAGATAATGATGATACATTAGATATTTCCTACCGTTAGTTTAATAAAAATGCTTGCATATTATGTGTATTGGAATTTTGTGAATTAGAGGAGTTAAGCATCTGAAATTATCCATTTGTTATAACTTATAAGGCCCTATAAATTAGATCCAAAAGGAAAATTGCGCATTTGATCCTTAGACCACTGATAAAATTTACCCACCATGAAAGATGTCTCACTTACTTACCATATCAGTTGTGGTGAAATAAAAGGGGGAAAAGAAAAAGAAGAAGAAGAGAGATTAAACGAACAAGGCTACTGTTCAAAAGTGTTAACTAATCATTGATCATCTTAATTTTCACTGATGTTCAGGGCTTAACTTTATAGTTGCTAGGCTACAGTCCTTTAATTGCAAAGGACATGCAGAGGAAGTAAAATACTTTTAAGTGATGAATTTGATTTGTATTTACGGTCAAAGAATGATCAGATGCAGGGTTTTGGAGCATAATTCTCAGAAATCTCATGCAGGAACATATTCTAAAAAAATATCTTCTCTTTTTTTTTTTTTTTAAGAATGATGTCTCTCTCCCTCTAGACACTAGAAAGAACTCCTTTTTGTTAATACTGAATCAAACTTGTGAAGTTTGAAATTGTTTGCATGATTGGCATCCACAATTATCTTTGTAATTTTGCTCTCTGACCTCGAAAAACTATTTATGACTCTATATTAGAATTGCTAATTTTATATAGTTATATTTATTGGCTAAAATATTTGACTCTATATTTGTAATCTATTTCTTGAAGAAAACTCAGAATGTCATTAGCCGGTATACAGTAAGCCACAGTTGTTAGTTATCAAGAAATGGTTGCTTGGTTGGTTAGTGAAAGGTTGGTAAGTGAGTGGAATGATATTGGATCATTCATCTCAGAGTCAAAGGGGATATTCCACAAAGGTTGGAATCTAAGTAAAAACCTTATGTTTTCGTGATATCAACTTGTTTTTGTGATTTTATTTTCTCTCAAAAACCAGCAGTTGTAGTGAAGTTGCAGAGTTTTCAAAGTGTGGCACTCAAATTCTTTGTTTCAAATGGTTTCAAGTTGGATTCTTTTCCTTTTTCGCCCTTCTCTTATTTGTCATGAAACAGTCTTGTGCCTTTTCTGTTTCCAGCATGTCTTGAAACCTTTGAATTTCTATGACTTCTTATAGTTGTTTAGATATATCATGATGGCTTTGTGTTTCATTTACAGGAAGAAAAGAAAAGAAAAGAAAAATGATAGTTTTGTGTATTGCCTAAAAATAGATAGAACACCACCTTTGCTTAATGTATTGCATTTCTTTTTTCCTGGGGAGGTTGGGATTCTTAATTATAAGGTTATTCCTTTAACCAAATTGTGGGTATCTCATAATAGAATCCTTATTTTTCACTTTTTTATTTTATTTTATGAAGTTTGATGCTAGTTTTCAATTAACAATTGATATCTCTTTGTTTTTGCTTTGAAAGTCAAAGCTAGCCTCTCTATTTGTAAAAAGTTTCAGTTTTCTATGGTTGGTGGTTGAGTGGGATGGGTCAACATTTTTTCCCCAGTAATTATTGAGGATCAACATTCTCCTCCTTCATTCTGCTTCAGAGCCTATAAATGTCCAAAAGTATTATAACACTCAAGTAAAGAAATAATAATTATGTCTCATAAAGAAGCCATATCGACAAAATAAATAAATAAGAAATATCCTGGTTTGGCTTTGGTTCCGTCTTCTTCTGGTACAACTTTGCTGCTTTGTTTTCTGGTCCCATGCTGAATCCTTCAAGGAGTTATCATATGAAATTTTCTGATTCCTTAGGCTTCTATGCTATGTCTCCCTTTCATGGGGACAAAGTGGATACTTGTATAGCCACTTCTAGTTTTCTAGCTGATATTACTATGTTTTGCTCCCTTCCCATATTTTAGATTGGTGGAACTGGGAATATAGTGACTTTTTATTCTTTTATTTCTTTCCTAAGCCAGCTTTTATTAACAACCAAAACGGCAGAATACAAACAGAAAACACAGAGGCATACCTCCCATATACAAGAAGACTAACCAATGGGTAATTTACACAGACCTCCCCTATGGTTTGCCATAATTAAAAATTAAACTATCCTACATGGACCTCCCTTCCGTTATGGGCAACGCCAGTCAACGACGGATTCTGCTGATGTCATCCACTTAATTAAGATAAATACCCATAATACCCTTATCCCTACCAATGAATGTTTTGTGTAGTCCCTAAAAGTAGATAGAACACCACCTTTGCTCAATGTATTGCATTTCCTTTGTCCGGGTGGATTCTTAATTGTAAGATCGACCCTTTTACCAAATTGCAAGTGTTTAGAATCCTTATTTTTCCCTTATTAATATTTTGTTAAAAAAAAAAAAATTGGTGTTTATTTTCATTTTTGCTTTGACTGTCAAAGCTAGTGATAGTTTACAGTTTGTAAATTAAGTATTGCATTTGGAATGATGGGTGAGGAGAACAATTTGGGTGGAGATATAAATGCAGATTAGGCTGCAACATCAACAAGTCATTCATCAGTGATGGAGACTTGGAAAACAGCTGAAAGGTTTTGCAGCCAAGATAATTCGGATAATACCCAAATGAAAAATGAAGTTACTGAAACAGTTCCATATTTCAAACTGTTCTCCTTCGCTGACTCCACTTAGTATGCACTAATGCTTGTGGGCACAATCGCAGCTATAGGGAATGGGCTCTGCATGCCCTTTATGACTCTGCTAATTGGAGATGTAGCCAATTCCTTTGGACAGAATGTGAACTCAAAAAATGTGCTTCTTGAAGTTTCCAAGGTATCTTTTTCTTAACCTTGATACTCACTCCACCATAGCAAAGACCAGTTCTTTCTTAATTTCTTGAAAATGAAGTTTCTTCCCGATCTGCAACGCCAAAAGAAAATTTTCAGAATTCTTATTGAACTCTGAAAAGTCTGATTCCATCATAATTTGGTGCCATTTAAACACAACAAAAGTGTTTTTTTCCAGTCATTTTTGCCTAAATTTCATCAGTTTGTGTTCTCCATCCTGTTGTAGCCGAATTGTTAGTGCATTGGTAAAATCAGCTATTGCTTTAGGCTACTAACAAACAGTATAACATTCACTTTCAGGTATGTGTTAAATTTGTTTACTTGGCTCTGGGCTCTGGTTTTGCATCATTTTTCCGTAAGTGCATCGGGCTTCTTTCTGATAAGAGAATTTAGTTTTCTGGCTACCTTGTGTATATTATTGTTTGGATTATGAGAAACTGAGAAACAGATGTTTGATACTTCACAGAGATGGTTTCTTGGATGGTCACAGGGGAAAGGCAGGCCGCAAGAATTAGAAGTTTATACTTAAAATCTATATTGAGGAAAGATATTGCATTCTTTGACACAGAGACTAAAACAGGAGAAATTATTGATAGGATGTCAGGTGACACCTTCCTTATTCAAGAAGCCATGGGTGAAAAGGTATTGCTGCTATGACAAGGGAGCACAACATTATTAGCAATACTATATTTCATGTTTTCATCTTAAATTGGTACTTTTTCATTGATGTATTTACAACAGGTTGGAAAGTTTATAATGGTGGTAGCCTCGTTCTTTGGAGGCTTTGCTATAGCTTTCATCAAGGGTTGGCTTCTCACCTTCGTCATGATATCTTCGATTCCACCTCTTGTCATCTCTGTTGCTGTCCTGACTGTCTTTGTAACGAAGCAAACATCTCGTGGACAAACTGCTTATTCACAAGCTGCAGCTGTGGTCGAACAGACAATTGGCTCAATAAGAACGGTATGCAGAATTGACAACAAGAGGACTTAGTTTCCATTTTCTTTCATCACCCTTTACTTTCCCATTCATCATCATCGTCATCCTTGCCTTTATCCCACATAGATTGGGTTGGTCACATGTATTCTCTTTTTCTATTCTTTCCCATTCAGGTTGCATCATTTACAGGGGAGAGGCAAGCTATAGCTAAGTACAACAAGGCTCTTCATAAAGCTTACAAATCTGGTGTGCAAGAGTGCTTGGCTTCTGGGTTGAGTGGTGGTGTGTTAATGCTCGTCCAGTTATGCTTTGGCTGTATGGTTTGGGTCGAAAATGATACTAAACAAAGATTATACAGGAGGACATGTATTGACTGTAGTTATGGCTGTACTGTATGGCTCCTTGTGAATTGCCCTTTGTTTCTCTTCTCAGTTTCCAACAGTTTGGTCCCTATGTTAAAGAATGAACGCATGAGCCTTTGTTTGTTGTATATGCATTGATTAAATTTGATAGTTTTTTTTTTTTTTTTTTGAAAATGATTAAATTTGATAGTTGATTCTTCTGAAAAGATCACATAATTTGTATCCCATTTGAAATTTTACAGTGCTTTAGGACAGGCATCTCCATGCATGAGTGCATTTGCTGCTGGACGAGCTGCAGCTTTTAAAATGTTTGAGACAATCAATAGGAAGTCAGAGATAGATCCTTACGACACAAACGGACGAAAACTGGATGATATTCTTGGTGATATTGAACTAAAATATGTTTATTGTAGCTATCCTGCAAGACCAGATGAGCAAATATTCAATGGATTCTCTCTTGCAATACCAAGTGGAACAACTGCAGCTTTGGTTGGACAAAGTGGAAGTGGGAAATCAACGGTAATCAGCTTGATAGAGAGGTTTTATGATCCACAAACTGGTGAAGTTCTAAAAGATGGTATCAATCTTAAAGAGTTCCAGCTTTGGTGGATCAGAGGAAAAATTGGTCTAGTTAGCCAGGAACCTGTGTTGTTCACTTCAAGCATTAAAGATAATATTGCCTATAGGAAGGATGGTGCAACCATTGAAGAAATTAAAGCTGCTGCTGAGCTTGCCAATGTTGCCAAGTTCATAGATAAACTGCCTCAGGTCTATATTTGGAATTGTTTTAATTTTTCTTTTCCTGTTTCACTTTCAGTTTTTACATCAAAATCACAACTCTTTTTAAAATATTTTCCGAATATGCATACCATTATTTACTAATGTAGGAAATATATCTACCTCACCCCCAAAAATAAGCAGAAGAACCTGAAAAGGTTCTACTAGTTACCTTTCCATCAAGTCACCTTCTTTCATTAACATAATCCATTTTCTTCCCATCTTTCATTTAAGTCCCATTTTTAATCTTTTCCAACTTTGTGTATGATGATTTAGGGACAAGACACGATGGTCGATGAGCATGGAACTCAGTTGTCTGGGGGGCAACAGCAGAGAATTGCTATAGCAAGAGCAATTTTGAAAGACCCAAGGATTCTACTTTTGGATGAAGCTACAAGTTCTCTTGATGCAGAATCTGAAAGGGTTGTGCAAGAGGTACTGGACGGAATTATGATCAACAGAACTACCATAATAGTAGCCCATCGCTTAAGTACAGTGAAGAATGCAGATATGATTGCCGTCATTCATCAAGGAAAAATTGTTGAAAAAGGTTCATGTTTTACATATAGTGTCCTAGTAGTTACATTCAAGTACCAAAAGTTGTCCAAGCTCAATTTCATTGCGTAGTGTCCC